TCGCTGCTGCTGACTCTATTAAAACTTGAGGACAAAACGATTAAACTCGTTTGCTCTGTCTCGTCTTGCTCGAATCGAATCGGGATGCTCCAGAAATGGCGCAAACCTTTCTAGTGAAAACAGTTCCAATTGAGAAGATCTAAGAAAATTTAATTAGAAAAGAAAATAGCATCGAACCACATCAAATTCACAAGGATTAAATACCAAATCGAATGGAATTGCGTTATGTTAATTATTTCTTTGAAATAGTTAAGCTCATTAACATACACATAATTCAATTTATATCTTCGTAATAACATAAGCTATTATTTACAATGAATTAATTGAAAGTTATAATTAAATTAATTCAATAAAGAAATAAAATTTCAGCTACGTACATTTCATTTATTTACGTAGCTCGTTACTAACGTTAACGTTAATAAGCAAATAAATTAAAAAATATTCTGTTCAGTCAGTCTTAACTTCTAAGTTTGCATATAAAATACTAAAAGTAAATAGATCAAAGCAGGTAATTACAAATTAATTATTTATAATAATTACTTCTATTAATTAAACATATTTTGATAATTGTGATAATTGAAATTTTATTTGCTTAATTATTTATTTAATGCATATAATAATTTAATTGAACGTTATAATTAATACAGTTGTTTATTGGGAACAATTGATAATATATACATTAATAATATAATTAATATGATGCAATTCTATGGTTAATGGAAAAATATTAGACACTGATAACGTAATTTAACAGTGGCAGTATTTTTTATAGCTTTGTTTTCAAACTGATATTAGATTGTAGGTAATAGTGGTAGGTTGCACTTTCACTTGCTTCGGCGCCACTAGTTTCAGCGTATACGTATCTTTTCCAATCGTATTAAGGTCTTTTATCAGTTTGTTCATATCATCTACGTCCGGAATGAAGAAAGGTGGTGGTTTTGGGGTTTCTCTTGGTTCGTTGTTTTTATTAGGAATGATATCTTCTATGTCTTGTGCTGATGTGCTGGCTAGAACTGAGTAGGGATTGTTGATTAGAGATGGATGTTTTCATCTGTGTTTATGTTTTGTCTTGTATTTGCATGTTGTTTTTTCTTTGCCAGAGCCGGTATCAGTATCTCCGTTTTTTTTTCGTACCGCTCTTTTTCTTTTCTCTCCTGGCTCGATAGGAATCGGCTCCTACTCTTCTAAGGAGTCTTCTGGCATTTTAAGGTTCGTTCTAGTTTTCCTACTAATGAGGGAAAACTCCCAATTTTTACTTGTGTAAAGTAATATGTGCGACACCCACAGTCCGACCGTCACAGTTGTAACAATTTATAGTTCGATGCAATAAAGTATCGGGTAAATGAACACTAAATCTACCGGAGACTCAGAATTCAGTACTCACTCAACGCGATCAGAACTAGCAAAAGGAATATAAAATGAATAAAGTTTTACCAAATAATTTATAATTTGGTTCCACCTAGAGCAGGCTCTATTTATGATAGACTGCGGCTCCCATCTCCAACTTAAGCTGATTGTGGCTATGATGGCTATATTAATTTCACTAGCAAAAATGGCGATCGTTGTATTACGTGCGACTCCTTGAACTTTTGTTTTAACATGCAATATCTTAAAAACGACTCTTTGTTCTAAAAGACGAAAGTACAAATTAATTGAAATACAAGTTGACAGCTTAAACGTTGATTTTTTTTTAATTATGATTTAATGGGAATAAAGAGCGGAAATACGTATGGTCAATATCTTTTCAATTTTATTAATATAATTATGTAATAATAAATTTGAATAGGTAATAAATGTTTTAATTAAAATATTAGTTTAATGAAAATTCTATACAATGAAGTACGAGGATGTGGAAATGATCAGTAATTGTGTAAACAGTATTGGAGGATGTTCGGTTATTAAATGGCGACGGCACTAGGATTTCCTAAACCTCTGGTGAATTTACATCCCTGTATCTATCACTCGATGTTTATCTGTGTATGTGCGTTTGTGTGAATGTGCATGTGCTCACCAATATATCTCTATCCACCTATCACTGTGTAATTATAGCCGCATGCTAGAATCTGTATGCTTTACAACTGACATCTCTTCGACCCCCTAAGTCAATATTGTACCATGGACATAATTAACGCGTGGGTGGTTATGTCCGCCCGTATTACGGAAAACATACCATAATACCATCATATCACACTCTGTGAGTGAGGATTAAAGTTCTCTCTCACCGGTTGCATCATATAGCAAGTCTGCATTATACACGAAGAGTTGGTTTGTTTGTCGGATGAATTGGAACACACATGTAATTGAATGTTAATTTCTCGGCTATACAGAGCTTGGTAATCCACATTCGATAATTAGACCTCATTAAATAAACGAGTCTTCAAACAATTGCGTTTAAACTTGCCCAAATACATGGCCTTTCTCTATAAGAATAAATATCGAAAAACAAATATATGAATGTGAAAAATTGTATATTCTATATAAGATAGAAATTATGTTAAATTTAAGAAAAAATGCAACGAAATAAAATTTTCTATTTCTGTAAATGTATATTTCTTTGATATCTATTTTATTCCAAAACTATTATACTTAATATAAAATATTAACCAGAAAAACACAGTTGTTAGAAAATCTTGATAAATATAGCTATGATTGTTCTGATATTGCTATGATATTGTCTTTTTTAACAGACTTATTGTTAACAATTAAAGTTTAATGTTTTTAATTGGGGTATGGTTACATCAAATTAGTTATAAATGTATGCGCAAGAAGAAAATAAGACCCATCAACACAATGTAATTGATTGGTTTTGAATGTGCTGTTTGTCGTGTTTTTTTTTTGTAGAATTGCAATCGAACCAATGGGAATGCAGTTATTCCCATTTGCACGAAATCTGATTGCGGCAACGAAAGGGAAATGGTAGTAATGAAGTTAGGTATGAAATAAAGTGAAAGAATTTAATCACAGTTCGATGTGTTTGGCATTGGAATATCCACAGAGGGACAAACGAAGCGGCCTTAACGAAAAACCAATTAAAATTAATTGTTTCCTTTTTTTCTAGAAATACTTAAATTTTGCAACTGTTGAGTTTGAATAACTTCGAGACTAAAAGAGAATTATTCACTTTTTATACAAGAAAATTGTAAAATAAATCCCTTTATAAATCCGGATTGATTCATATTAGAGATTGAGTACAGAGTTAGTACATTCATTCTTTAGAATTAGTTGAAATTTGTGCATTCGATTGGTGTTCGGTTTTGGAAATGTACAGACGCGTGTTTCATGTAAACGCTGTATTTGAACTACATGAATTTCCCATTAGTTTATTTTCACTGAAAATGTTGACTGGTTTTTGTGTGTGACCTGAGGCCATTTCAAATGATCAAAGGATGCATCTAACAGACGTAATCAAATGTACATAGATACTCACTTAAAAATGTTCAAATGCAAATTAAGCTAAAAGTGAAATCAAATACTTTAAGCAGTTCATTTCTAATTATTTTAACACAAATGAGCATACTTTTGTTTTCAAGAAAACTTTGTTTGGTAATTTTCAACTGTTTTTTTGTGATACTAACAGCAAAGGTTCCATGACTGCGCCACAACAGTGGCTTTGAATAAGTGAAATCTTCCGTGTAAAGTATATGGCGGATATATCCGCCGCAAGTAAGTAAATATATTTAAATCAAATTCACTTTGATTACAAATGATATTTTCTACCCCACGTTGAAATTTAGTCTGACGAAACTCTAAATGCAATAATTATTTAATATATTCTAAATTCTCCCGCGAAATTTAATTAAAAACTTTAGAAAGTCTGAACTGGCGCTCCATCTAGCGCTAAATTATATAAGTGCATTCGGATTTTGCCCTGCAGTAATTTAACCGTAATGTAATTTCCGGTTTAACTTTTCGAAATGTCTTCTCAAAGCACATTAGGAGCATGCAGAATTTCGAAACTATTAGCCAACTAATTTTCTGTTCGCTTGATATTACGTAAACAGTTTGTCAGTGTCTGTCTCGGGACGTCGTTCGGTCGACGGTTCATAGATGTCGACTGACGTTCCAAAGACCCGGAGGCATGGAATCGATCCCGTAGTTTCGACCTTTGAAAACTGGGTTAGAAGGGTCCACAAATCGAATTTCAACTGTGGCCAACCGCAAATGTTCATAATTAAAATTCTCGTTGTAAATTAAATTGCAAATTATTATTTCACGATTCTCGGCTGAAATAAACTGAAATAACTGTAAGCCGGATAATCTGCAAATGGAAATCCTTTTAGCAGAAGATTGTTGCACTCGAGTCGATGATGAAAGTAGTTTTACTTTGAAGTGAATGGCAGGAAAAGTTTACCGAGTGCCAGTTTTAAGGATCATTGCATTTCCTTGAGAACAATTTGAAAAAATATTAAGTCACAAATTTAGTTATAAATATAATAATCATTATTAATACGTATTTATAAATCGAATTATAAAGGCTTTGCGACATTGTAATAAATAAAATAAATCATAAATTCTTAGTGTGAAGCATTATTAAATAGCAGTAAATAACATTTATATAACAATCTCTACTTTGGAAATATTTCTGTATAAATATAAACAAAATATGGCAATTTATGAAGAAAATGTATTCACATATACCATCAAAAACTGTTTGGTTCTTGCATGAAAAACACTCTGTAAATACGAATAACGTTTAAATATTGATATTGATTTTCTTTTTAATCTATCTTATAATGTGTCGTATATCATTAAACTTGGACTTTTCACATGTTTTAATTGATGACATTGTGGATGAGTTATTTCTGAAACTCCATTTAACATATTTTAAATTTTTTTGACCGGCGTCCCGGAGGCACAATTTGTCAACAAAAGAGCAGTATTCTCCGGAGCCGCGGATTGCTGACCCCAAAATTATTTGAATATTAAAAGAAATTTATGTTTAACAATTTGCACATCAAATGTTTGTTTTCATAACTAATATTATATTATTTATTTGCTAGAATCGCAGTATGCAAAAGTTCAAAAGGATCTAATTGCGGAATTGAGCCGGGGTGGCAGTAGGTTACATGCTGGACCGAATTCGATCCGGTCAGGTCCGGAGATCAGCAAGCTACAAAACCGGTTGTTTCTGAGCCCTAATTACACCCTAGTGGAGGCGCAAACCCGGACAACAGCTGCGCTCCATTGTGAAGTACAGGACATTGGCAATTGCACGGTATGAAATGACAACAACAACAAAAGTTACAGCTTTAAGTAATCACCATCAATAAATAATGAGGCTTAAATTTCAGGTGACGTGGAAAAGGATCAAAGACTACCAGATACTTACGTTCGGACTGTTGACTTACAGCAGCGATAATAGGTTCTTTGCTAGGAATGGAAAAGGCAGCAAGGTATTAAGTTTTTATTACGTGAATAATTATCGCAACGGCGGGACGCATTGCTGCAATTTATTAAGTGTATGAAATGCGAATGGAAATTATGAAAACTCGAACAGGAGAAAGATGATGGAAACCTTATATTTTTCATTCGATTGGTTTCTTCCGAATAACCGACGCCGCTGAAAACTTACGCTCCGCTGAATATTGAACCTTCTCACATGTTTCTTTCAATTCGTTTCGTTTATTTTCCTTCGTATCACTTGGTTAGATGTGTGTTGTAATTAAGGTAGCTTGATTTACTTCCTCAGGACTGGTCATTGCATATACGCTACGTGGATAAAGGTGACGCAGGGATCTACGAATGTCAGGTGTCATCGCATCCGCCATCTAGTATTTTCGTTGAACTAAAATTAGTCGGTAATTATATTTCTTTTATATAATCTGTGATTTTTATAAAAACATTTTGATTACTTTAGAGGCACACGCTGAGATCGTTGGTGGTTCGGATAAGATCGTGAAGTCAGGATCTCCTCTGCTCTTGACCTGTGTCCTGCAGAAATCCACTGAAGTCCCGGAGTACATCTTCTGGTACCATGGACAGAGAATGATAAACTACGATCTAGGTGGAGGAGCTGCCGTCAGGCACGGAAGACATGGCAGCGAGTTACTTATACCCAGTGCAGAAATCCGACATTCAGGGAATTACTCCTGTGTCCCTTCGAACGCCCGTCCAGATAGTGTCAATGTTCACGTCCTGCATAGTAAGATTACACACTGAGGTTGGGGCGTGCTTGAATCTATATTTTTAGGTGAGAAACCAGCGGCCATGCAGCATGGAAGCAAAAGCTCCCAAGGAGCAAGCAGAAGCTGCCCGATCGTGCTCTTGCTGGCCCTATATTCGCTGTTATCGAGCAGGACGTGATGATACTTCTAAAACGAATATTCCCAAAGACATCGAGGGAACCCAACATAATGAATCGCAAAGACTGCTACAGAATATATATTATACGATGAGTCAGTTTGTATGTAGCTGATCTTCATTATAACATAACTTAATAACGTATTCAACGTATAACGTATTTATTTCAATATGATGATCAGCAATTGTACATAATTCAACAGTCCCAAATCGGTGTTTGCATGTAGAGTGTTTACTATATTTTATAATGTGCAGTATTGGCCATAAAATAAACATAATTAGTTAGAACAAATGAAAATAATTCACTCACATAACAGTGTATACAGTTTGGTAAGATTATATTGAAATGTTATAAATTCACCAATTTAGAAAAAAATATCAATTTACATAAATCTCTTGTTATACTATGAACTTGCAATTACAAATTGAGGTCTAAATATCAAGAAAAATATTATCAATAAATTTTTATTTTATAATTTTTATTGGCCAAAACTTTATTGGCTAACAACAAATATTAATTCATAAACTAAGATAATTAAAAAATGCAACTTCGACTTATTTCGAATTAAGAAAATCATGAACCGTAGGCACCAGTGTTAGTTATACTAGACGAGGTCCCCAAACATTATTTTGGCATCATTGCAGTCCCGCTACTTTCTTGATCAAACCTTTAATGTATTATATGTTATTATTAATTTTTTGATAATATTTAATAATTTGTAATAGAAAGATATAGCAGGAATACATACTTTTATTTATATGATATTACATTTTAATAATAGTTTGAACTCTATATGCAAATGTTATACATCCGCTTGTTAACATTACGATAAAAATATATCGAAGCATTGTAGTTACATGTACATAATTGTATTGTGCCAAATATATGGGGTTGCGTCCATTATTATTTACTGAAGGTGAAATATCTTTTTTTCTCTGGCCGGCCTTCAAGAATGTATTTTACAATTATTTTATAGAATCCTAAAAAAAGTAAAGTATTTGTACTTTATCAAAATTTTACAACAGTTTCATTCAATAAATCACATATAATATAATAGTAATAATTATTAAATAAAGTGAAATTTTAATTTGTTAAAAGTATCAATTCTCAAGATAATTGAAATACATCTCAATTTTCATATCAATGTATATAAATATGTTTGTTTTGTATACCATATTAATAATAATTGAATCGAGTCTCGAATTGCACCACTACAAATCAGTTTTTTCAAACCATTAATTATTGAGTGTAAGTTAAATAACTGTTAAACATGCTTATCAATATAAAAATATAAAAAAGGTATAATTATACAAAAAATAGGTATTAGCTAGTCTTGCCTATAAAAAATTTAAAAATCACAGATTAATTAGACATATTTTATGAAAACAACACATATGATTATGATATTCTTATATACTGAGATTGACTTTTCTGTTTAAAAAGTGATCAAGATTAAATTTAATGTCACATTTTACATTTTATATTTCAAATAATTTATCGACCAAATCGAGATTTAATGCTATATTTTATACAACTTTGTCATTTTTTTGATATGTGACATATTGAATATCAGGGTAATTTGTTTCTTATTTTACATTACATCTGATCTATATAAAAATTAAGTATCCCGAAATGACCGAGGAGTTTGTAATGTAGATGATTTATTATTATATATTAAAAAGATTTTTATAATTAAATAAACGGATGAAATTAAGAGTAAAGCTGAAATATTTTCTATATAGTTTTTTTATATTATAAATATGAATGTTTAATACTTTGCATACATGTGCATTGTTGTGTTAAATATATACAGAGTGCAGCAGAAAAAAAACTACCACATTTGAAAAGAGTATTGACCAAAAAAATGTAGATAAAAAAAGTTTTTACTTTAAATTTTACACATTTGGAAACCTTTTCTTTATACCTGTAGCACCCTGTATAATGACTATGGAAGATATTTTATATTACACATGATGCAAAAGTTAAACAATATTTCTTATTGATTGTACTCGGATGTGTGATTGAAGTGTACAACTTATTAAGAAACTTGAATAATTTATTTCAGAATAAAAAAAATATTGTAATTAAGAAGAACGAAATGAGAAGAATCATATATAAGTTAAAGAGGAAAAAAATACTTTTTTTACAGCGAACAAAAAAAATTAAACAAAAACTGCACTGTAATATTACTCTGTTTAACATGATCTTCCTCTACAAAATAAGCAGTTTTTTAATACCTCTTTGGAATCTCCAAGTATTTTTTCAAGAAGCGAATCTTCTATTGACTTAAAAAGGTGACAATCCAAATGTGTAATAACAGGTGAAATGAAGAAGACCCACTTCTCATCCGTTTTAAATGATCTTTTGCTGTTGACCATGGAACAGTAGGTTCTTGTGACATTTCCTTGATAACACTTTATCTTAAGAGATCTCCCTGAATTTGGTTTGTCCTTGAACTCTTTATCACCTTTTTAGAACTTTTTAAAACCATCTACAGCATAGACTTTCATTTAAATCCTTTATCAAATAAAATCAACAAAAAAATATAGAAAATGAGTGTATCCAATATCTGGCCCTTGCATTTTATTACTATGTACAAATATAAGTTCAAAATTTTCCATTCAGAAAAATTATTAACAGAGCTTCAAAAGTGTTAACTTGAAGAAAACAGGTGATAAACTGGCTTCAAAGTAATTTTCTTTTCGCTTTACCTTATATACATGGAAGAAAATAAAACAGAAGTGATTTAAGGAATGGCGTAATTAGGGACTTGTTTCAAACACTCGTATGATATATATGTATGTTATATATTTACAATATTTTATTAAATAAATATTTTATACATGTATATATTTATATAATTATAATTGTAGGTCTTACATATAAGATAATAAAACAAATGGAAATTTGAACTATAATAGATAGTAAACGTAATAATGTTACAAGACATATAGATGATAACGCATTAAGATTAATATAAAAATAAAGTGTAACAGAATAGAATATTAAGATGTATGTAATAAACTTAAAGAGAAAGTCAATGCGACATAATAAAATATAACATGGTAATATAATAATAACAGTAATAAAATAATTGTGAATAGGTTATACGTGCCTTCAATTCATTTACTTTCCCTGTATAGTCTATGTATATATATATATATTATATATGTTAAATATACTTAAATGATCCAATCCAACAATCAGACGTCTGCGTGCCATTCCCTTCTAAACATCGTTAAAAAGTTTAAAATGACATGTATAAGTGTAATTATCCAATAGTTCACTTAATTGCTAAACAGTTTACGTAATTAAATTTCACACGTAGACACACACAACGACCGCAATTCAGTCGATAGTGCAGCATTCGCGCATTCATTCTTTTTCGTTATTTTTTTTTATTCAGTTTCTAATTCAGAGCACAAATTGTCCAATTGTTCCAATTAATATGCAATTCGCTCCATTTCCAAATTCTGTGAATGTTTATTCGGTTCGCATCAAATAATTCAGATGGTAATTGAAGGAAACTTCTTACCGCAATCGAAAATTTTTCATACGGAATCTGATCAATATAATTAGATTTTTTGTACGTACTTCTTTTTTTAGTTGACATCAAAAATAAAAGCCACCAACATATATTGAATAAACTTTTTCACGTCTGAAAATTTCTGGATCTATACTCAAACTTTTAACAAAGCTATTTCATATTTAAACAATTTAATTGTTTCAACATGTGCTTTGTAGTTGCAATACCTAAAGAATAGATCATTCCTTAAGGGTTCTAGAAACCTCGATAGACACCATTAGACAATTTACATAATACACATAGATTTATTTAATAACCATTTTTATTTCTAAAATTATTTTATTTTTCTTTTCTTTTTAATATAAAACATCTTGTCGTAATTTTAGTACAGACAATGCATACTATTTGCCATGTAACTTGTCAGGTTGTAAGTACTCAACCCGAATTCAACAATAGAATATCAAGTTAATTGGCTTGTATTTTATAATTATTTTAAGTTTATAATTATAGTTACTAAACATTTGATAATTAATCAGACTTTGTGTACAAAAAAATCTTGTTCATGTTTCAGACAAATTTTCGCAATCTCTCATTCAGCCATCAACCATGATTATAAAGGTAATTAACATGCATTCCCCGTTCACAAACCAAGATAAAGTATCTAAATATCATTAACGTTACTTTGATTTTGAATATGTTATAATAATATATATATTTGTTTATAATATATTTTATTTTTCATATAATTGGATATACAGTAAGAACTTGAAGCACCCGACGTCTTGTTGCATTTGCGCAACGTTTCAGGAGAGTTCTCTTAATGATTATTATAAATCTTAATAAATATGTGAATCCTTCGTCCTTTCTGCAGATGGGATTTAGGAGAGCCTGGCTATAGCGATGGCAATGAAGAGGAGCCACGAAGACGGACTGCATTGAAGCCAGGACAAACCGCGTCCTCCGTGCTGCATTGCTGCAGGATTCTCCCCTAAAAATGAAACAAGAACTTATATTAATATAGTAAAAAAAGTAAATAAATAGCATACTCCGAGCCATAATGTGTGTAGAACGAAAAATGAAATGCGCATGAAAGGATGCAGAGATGTTTCAAGCCATTTGCCGCCGTTGAGCGGAACAAAAAATAAATCTCGTACATGCATGAGAGCAAAAGAGATATAATCCCTGTTGTTGTGCGTTGCTCTTACGAGCTTGGCTGATAACATTCCCTGCTAAAATTGTTATACATCAGGACAGCAAAAAAATCTTGATGCATGCTAAGTAGAGACAAACATATATTCTACCTTAATGTTGGTACTGAAATTTATTTGAAAGAGATTAACCCTAATACATATTATACCTATAAATTTGTGGATATTGATAAAGAAAAATCCAGTAAATATTATAAATAATATAACAAAATGTTTACTCTTTTCACTCATTTTTTGACTTTATGCATAATAATTGTCTTGTAGTTTGTATTTACTACAATTTTTCTTAATTAATATGTCTGATATTCTAATTTTTTATTTGATAATTGATAATATTTTTGCCTTGGAAGCATATGTATTGTGAAAGTTTCCATTATATGTTGACATAATTGCTGGGAAATTTCTATAATTTTTTGCCGATTTTTATCTTTGAGATCCTCAATAGTTTGTGGTTTATTGATGTACACTCTATGCTTAAAATAATCCCAAAGAAAGAAGTCTAAGTTGTCTAAGTATCAAGTTTTCCATAACAAAAAAAATCACCAGTTTTAAGTGAAGTTCTATGCGTTGTTCGATCGTGTACTTTTTCATAACTTTAGCTCAATGTTTACTAATGACATAAATATATATACTCTGGTTATACCGCAGAAGAAAATGGTGGAAAATTTAAAATGTTAATTCTATTTGGGACACCCTTTTGATAAAATTATTTCAAACGTTTTTTTAAGAGAATAAATACAAATGTACAAATATGGAGTGATCATTGTAAATATATTGAGTATTTCCTGGGTATTACTTTTTATCTATTTTTTTATACATATAGCTGGAAATATGATTTTTCAATGTCCAAATGTTAAAAGCTGATAGAACAGTAGAGGAAAAAAAAAACAGAATGGATGAGAGAAATTTAGGGTCGAAAAACGATGAAAAAAAAGAGAGGTTGAGGTTGTTACGTGTATGGCATAGTAAAAATTGTCTGCGGGGGTGTAAAATCAAAAATGCAACGGTCCACGATGGATTTATCAGCGAGAGACGACCTTCTGTTTTAATGCGCAAAAGAACAAAAAAAAAATGAGTGACACGTTAATTTAGTTCGGGGTGTGCCGCCTCCATCCGCCGCTCCGCAAAAGTCGCGCCCCCTTCCATACCTCGGCTCTTGTTCCATCCGAATCACCTGTCAAAACGTACATCCTCAAACGCTCGCTCACTCATAACATCACCCAAATATAATGAAATTGGCCCCATCCAGATGACAACAATAAAATTGGATGCGATCACGGAGAGCGAGAGCGGGCGCTGCCAATCGAAAAAAAAAGTATGACCCTCCGCATTTTTGCGTTTGCCTTAATTACATCGATAAATTGATTAATTACTCGTATTAATGCGTATTTTATTGGATTCGAATTTAAATCAAATTTTCCAACCATAAATTAATACAAAACTGATACTTCAAACAGTTTAGGTTTATTATCCTTATTATTTTTTATCCATTAACAAAATATATGAATTCTTTAAAATATAAATATGCAACCATAAAGATACTTAAGAAAAAGTAGACAGGGGAAAGTTTCCGAACTTGGACTCGTTTAGAGAAATTTGACAACATTGTTTGTCTAGACATAAAGTTAACTGATGTAATACAATAAATTCACTAGTGGATGCAGTGAGGCAGTTATTGTCTTTCCGAAGTTAGAAATGTATTAATTTACTATAAATATATGTATACTATAAAAATATAATAAAAATAATAATCAGAAACCACAAATTTACCATGATTTCTATTTATATTTTTAGTAAAAATCGGTTTATCAGATATATACACTTTTACTTAATAAAAAATCTAAATTCAATGAAATAAATATTGATTTATAACAAATACAAAAGAAGTTTCATACATTTTCAAATCATATTGGCCGGTGAAACCGGTTTATCGGTAATTGAAGACAGAATTGTAATCAATTATGGCCGAGTTCGCAATCAATCAGAACACGCAGAGCTGTCTTTGATGTTGATACGTTTTCTTCTTCTTCGTATACTCGCATCCCGTATACAAAGATTAAGTCATCCCGTGTGTTCGGCCCAAGTAATTCTAATCTCTCCCAGAGGGGCATCGCAATCCCGTTAATTGCCTTCGCAAACTTCCGAACAGTGTTTCGCATCCCCGGATCTAATTCGTCTCGTCATCGGTGGCATCCATCGAGCGGCCCTCCAGAGTCACATTCAAACAGTCCAAAACCCCAAAACTATTATATACCATCATGCACACTACTCAACTATATACTCCACTTCTAACAATATATCTCTATACTCGTAAAGCATAGATTGTTCGAAATGAACAGACGAATAATTGAATAGTAATTCCAAATGAAATATTGCTAAATCTAGTTCTACTGTTCTTTATTATTGAAGAACACATGTTTTTATTCTGTATGTTGACTTACATACATAGAATATAAAGAATAATAACAATCTATATTGGAAATTCAAAATTTTTCAGTGCAAGAAGTGGTCCAATGTGTGGAAACATTGGTGCAAGGTCTGAAGAATACAGTCACCCACTGTATAGAATTTCCAAGTGCAGCTCTACAATTTGAGCAACGTTATTAATGCGACTTGTGGAATAGGTTTGGTTTGTTTCTATTCACCAATACTGAATGCTTAATCCCAACCTTCCTCTTCATTTCGTCTATTTGGTTACAATATACAACCGCCGTAATCGATTGACTGGGTTTCTTGAAGCTGTGGAAAACACCAGTTCTGGACCATAAAATATTAGAGTTTCATTATTAACCAAAAATTGAAAGCTTTCAATTGACAAAAAGAATCAATTTTTCGTCATATGTAACAACATTGTGTAAAAATGGTTCGCCTTTATATCGCGTCAGCAAAGAAAAGGATTTATGTATAACACATCTAACATCAAACTTTATTGATAATTCACACGTAGTTTGATATGTGTCGATAGATATTTGGCCCTAGACGCAATATCTTATTAGGAATATTAACAATTAAAGGCAGTAAGTTAATTTAAAATTTTATATTATGTTATTACAAAACTCATTACATATAGTTTTCTAAATAATGTGGAAAGGCTACCACTAACTCCAATCGATTGTGTACAATTGAAGTATAAGTTTTTTTTATTACATCATATAAAAACTTTTAAAATTTAATTATAATGTATCTCTGTACTTGTGAATAATATGTGTAGATAACCGAGTTATAAATATATAATAAAAAAAATAAATAATAAAAAAAAATCGTTTTAATTATGGTCCATTACGTCCACCGCAAATGGCGATGTTTGGAGTGGAGATCGCTATGAAGTTTATATGAAAAGTTTAGGAATGTAAGTGGTACGTGTACATCGTCAAATTTTAATGATGCTGGGCGTAATATTTACAGATGCAATTAAAAGATTAAAAGAGTGCGATATTGCGTGCAGGACCGTAGCCCCGTGTGCAGATGCAATTTGTACCATGTAGATTTGCATTTAAATGGTCGCACGTCGAGGCATTTTTGGAATACAAATTTTTGTTTGCGATGCATCCGACGCCGACGCCAACAAAGCCCGCCGCCGCCTTCACAAGGACGACAATGTGCTGGTATCTGGCGAGGACTGAAGGACGACAACGTGAAATGGATTGGAAGCGTGTGTGTGCCATTAATACGATATGCAAATGAGAAAACTCCGTGAGGTAGATAATGCGTGTCGAGGAAATGATGGGCCGCGCGCGTGAATTCCGGCCGCTGGTGCGATAATGCTCGAACATTTTCCACCCCTTGATGTATTACACCACCAGCGGAGAAGGACAAGAATCAAGGAGGATGAAAGACAAAAAAAAGAAAAGAAACAAAACAAAAGGAAAATAGCGAAATGCAAAGTCTACGGGAGAGATAGCAGCGGCTCCAAATGATTTTGTTTAAAATGCGAATTAAAATAATAAATTTGTGACAATTTCGAAATTGGCGCGATTCGTCACTGCCGTAAAAGAGGGACAGTTCTCTTTTTATATGTTATCTTGACATCCGCTCTCTTTGTGACATTGATATGTGCGACACGCAACCTTCTGCTGTGTCGTTAATGCCGCAACGTTTACTCTCAGATAATTATCAAATCCATTATCACACCATATAAAATATTACGACTCTATTAATTCTTTATAAAAAAGATTAGCAAACAACAACAAAAAATGATTGTACCTTGGCAATTGGAGTTGTATTTATGAGAACACTTTAATTATTGGGTTGAGGCATAATTATCAGGCCTAAATATTGCTTAGAAATGCTTCATAATTATGCACTCAAAAATATACATTTTTGAAATCAATTAAAAGTTCTGACAAACAGAGAAAAAAATATTATTGTCAATTACTTATGTGCAAATTTAACAGTATTTTTATCTGACATTTTCTTCTTTACAAACATACATAACTTATTAGGATTAAAAAAAAAACTCAACTGAACGAACGAAATGTTTATTGAAGCAAAGTACTAAATATTTAAAGAAAACCAAGATAAAAATAAATGCATTTTACATTCTAAGATGTACGTTATTTGCATCTATGTGTTATGATGTCGCATCCAGCTTATTTGTTTTCAGGAACATTTTTAGAAAAATATCATTTATGTTCGCAAATATAAAGCAACGAAACAAAAATTCTGCATTCACTATGCGAGGTATTATTTGCATGTAAATGTTCAGTTATCCCGTCAATACCTTGTTCTATATAAGCGTTTACTTGCATCGTTGCATACACAATAAATTCAAATTAATACTAATTCAATTAAAACATAAACGACAGCAATTCAATGCCAGGTTAAATATTGATAGAAAAATAAAATAAAAAATAAATTAGTTTTTAATTTTCGTTAGCAAATATTTACAAATTGTCTTATGTAATTAGCACATAATTAATATTGAATAAATGCAAATTTAATACGTAATATTTTACTATCAAGGAAGATTATAAAATCGTTTTAAATTTCATACGCAGATCAATCAATACTTTGAATAACTATTACGAGAAAACTAAAATCCGAAATATTTTCCAAGAATTTTTGTTTTGTAAATAAATACATAAATGAAACGCGTCAGCCGTACAGAAAAAAATAAAATATAATCTGTAAATATTTGTGTGTAATAAAAATATTTATAAAAAAAAACATATCATATTACATAGTTTTGTCACTTCTTTTGATACCGAATCATGGTCCACAGTTTTGTGCTTTTGTAATAAAACTTAAAAGATGTCAGGACTACACGCACAATACAGCTGCGTGTCCCAACACATAATCTACTCACCCAACCCACCTATGTACGTCGCCTATGAACTCTGAGAGCCATGCTATTGTAAACACATACATTAACAACAATTTACATGATGAAAAGTCGTCTGATCGAACAGCTTTGTTGCAGCGCTTCAAGAAGAGATACATAGAGAATTATAACGTCACATGTGTGTCGATGTTTGCTTCTCAGGAAACCACGTTACGTCCTGATGTTCAACCTGGATAGTCCCGAAATAGAGTCACCTAAGAGTTACACCCAGGTGGCCGCAAAATAATTTATGGTTGATGGGTTTGATTAAGTGGTAGCAAGTCACCGATCCAATCGAAATATTGATTGGATTGTGGTTTTATTTAAGTATTCATGTCTTTTACACAGAAATGGTTTTTATTTGGTTGATTTATTAAATAGGCGAATTATCTAGCAATTGGTGAAATAAATTCATGTAATTTCTCAAATGATCAATTTGCTGAACATCAAGTAAAATAGATGTATTAAAATAAAATTATATGACGAAGATATTATAAATTAGCTAGTATTATTGCAGATACTGCTGAGCTGCATAAGTCGACGAAATATATATATTAAAATTACTTGAGGTATGTAAAATGATATTAATTATATTATTTGTATAAAAACTAATATTAATGCAATACAATTCTAACAGTCATTAAATTATAGTACCGTAAATAGATTAAAATAACAAATACTCTGACAACATAACTTGCATGAGCTAATACAACTACTACTTTGATTTATTCCGACGCAAATTGCAGCACACGGGGCTTCAAGCGGTCCGATTTATTGGTACGTTTTGGACACGATTCTAATTTCATGTAAATATTCATCACCATCACCGTTATAATATTATTCGCCGTATTTAACTTAGGCCGCAATTGCGCAAATTTTGGAATAGCAATCGATGCACCAATTTATTGCTCATTAAAATATCGCATGGACCGTGCATAAATACGATGAGCGATATCAATTTTATGTTTGAACTCTGCGCAGCGTGGAAAAGGAAGGGTCGAGTGCTGACCGAAAAACGGTTATTGGAATTTTAATAAAAAGAAAAATTATGTATCATGAAAAACGATATCATCTTTTATTACAAATCAACCATTATTTATGCCATATGTACCAGGAATAACATTACTGATTTATTATTTCACTGTTTGCAAAAAGCCAGTAACAAAATGCCACTGATCTTTAATATATTACATATAGACATTTTTTA